TTCAAACCCTGCTCTCTGATTGGCTCCTCACATTTAAGGTGTTCAAACCCTGCTCTCTGATTGGTTCTCCTCCTATGAGGTTTAATGGGGCCGGTTCTCCTCCTATGCGGATTAATGGGGCTGTCACCAGTCCCTCTCTGCATTTAAGCCCTCCCCTTGGGGAGCAGTGGGCTGCCATTGTGCGGTGCCCAGGGAGCAGGGTGGGGTTGAGGGTCTGGTTCAGGGACCCAGAGTGGCAGTCTGTGGGAGTGCGGCCTCTAGTGGAGCTCTCATCCTTCCCACCATCAGGACTAAAGTTTTAAAACAAAGACTAAAAGCTGCATTCTACATCTAAATGCAGAAAATATCGTTTCAGTCTGAATTTCAACATTTTCTGGGGGGGGACCCCCCGGACCCCCTACTTCAGACAGAGACACCCTGTGGAATATTTCTAGATAAAAACCTGACTGAGGGACTCATCTCGGTAGCTAACGGTAGCCATGCTACCTTTTGCGAGCACATGGCCACACCGTTACTGAATTCTCCAAATTAGCCAATCCTGCTGTTCTCTTCTAAATACCCAACCTCCATCTGTAGACATCAGGCCCTCCTACCATCCTCATGGAGTCACTTTCTAACCGTTTGTGCAGACATATGCACAATGGTGGCCTGCTGGAGGTCATTCTGCTGATCTGTGTGTTTAATGGCGTCCACAGTCAGAACGCTGACCTTCATCCAGCGTCTGAATGCGTTCAGCTCCATCGACAGCAAGCCGCCAGATGACCTCAGTAAGTGGGGGCTGTGGGGGCAGGACCTTCAGACTGGAGCCCAGTTTCCTGAAAAACTACTGAAGCTGCAGGATGAAGGCAGCGCCTCTACGAGCTGAGGTCAACGTTCCCCTGAGCAGAGTGCGGCCTCTGAGGGGAGTGCGGCCCTGAGGGGAGTGCGGCCCCTGAGCGGAGTGCGGCCCTGAGGGGAGTGCGGCCCCTGAGCAGAGTGCAGCCCTGAGGGGAGCGGCCCCTGAGCCTGAGGGGAGTACGTCGCCTGAGGGGAGTGCGCCGCTTAAGTGGAGTGCGGCCCCTAAGGGGTGCGGCCCTGGAGGGGAGTGCGCCGTCTGAGGGGAGTGCGGCCCCTGAGCCTGAGGGGAGTGCGGCCCTGGAGGGGAGTGCGCTGCCTGAGGGGAGTGCGGCCCTGAGGGGAGCAGCCCCTGAGGGGAGTGCGGCCCCTGAGCCTGAGGGGAGTGTGGCCCCTGAGGGGAGTACCTCGCCTGAGGGGAGTGCGGCCCAGAGGGGAGCAGCCCCTGAGGGGAGCAGCCCCTGAGGGGAGTGCGGCCCCTGAGGGGAGTACCTCGCCTGAGGGGAGTGCGGCCCCTGAGGGGAGTGCGGCCCAGAGAGGAGCAGCCCCTGTGGGGAGCGCGGCCCCTGAGGGGAGTGCGGCCCCTGAGCCTGAGGGGAGTGTGGCCCCTGAGGGGACTGCGGCCCTGAGGGGAGCAGCCCCTGTGGGGAGCGCGGCCCCTGAGGGGAGTGCGGCCCCTGAGCCTGAGGGGAGTGTGGCCCCTGAGGGGACTGCGGCCCCTAGGGACTGTGTGACGTACCTTCTGGTTAGCTTGGATGTTAGCTTGTAGAACAGGTTGGTGGAGCCTCTGGCCTGGCCCAGGGGGGCGGCGTCGTGTGAGAGGCTGGGGGAGGCGGGCGGCCCATTGTAGGTGGCGGTGCGTCGCTCTCTGAGCTGCCCTCCGTGGAAGGTGCTGCGGCTCGCCGTCCTGCGGGAGAATCGCAGCCGGTCGGGGGGCGTGGCTCCGCTGCTGACGCTGTGAGTAGAGGCTCCGCCAACCGAGCGCTTGGTGGGGGTGCCGGACGAGCTGATGGAGGAGCTACAAGTTAGGTGTGAGGGTGGGAGTGGTGCCGGGGACCAGCGGGGGGCGCCCTACCTGTTCTCTTTGCCATTGTGGACGGTGGAGGAGGACGTGCGGTCTGAGGAGCTGCAAACGTATGTGTTCCTCCTGGTCATGCTCGACGCCGCCGTCTGAAACACAGAGATAGACTGTGATTGGCTACAGGAAGCTCCGCCCATCAAGCCATGGCTTCCTGCTAACACACTCACAGTGGCTGCAGCAGGTGTGTTCCTGCGCTCAGGGATGTCTCCTACGTTGGGGTTGTTGGCGTTGCCGAGAAACGGACTGCGCGCCTCTCCGGCACCGGGCTTCCTGTTCTGGGCTCCCACCTCCTGCTTTGGCTCCGCCTCCACCGCAGCCTGGCCCCTCCGGGAAGCAGCAGTGGTGGAGGAGACGGGACTCACTGAGGAGGAGGAGAGGAACATTAGTGCCTAAGGCGGCTCCAGGTTCTGGTTCTGGTTCTGGTCGGTACCTTGGTCGCTGTGCCTCCTATGCCTGGAAGAGGAGGAGGAGGAGGTGCGCTGGTTGAGGAGGTGGGCTGGAGAATGGCTGCTGCTGGAAGGATGAGGTTTAAGGAGGGAGGTGGAGGCCAGATCCATCTGAGAGACAAAGACATGCATCACTTCCTGTCCAGAGGTGGAGTTTGATCTGTTACCATAGTAACCACTCACCTCTCCAGCCTTGCGTCCGAGCAGCAGGTAGGTGGCTGTGATGTCATCGTACTTCATCTTGGAGAGCGAATCTGTGATCTTCTCTCTGGAGTAACCCATCTGGACCATGAGGTCTGAGGAAGAGGAGGAGAAGGAGGATGATGAAAAGGGTCCCAGCGTTCGTTCTCGCGCTCCTCGCTCTTCTTCTGTGGAAGGGGCGGGGCATATCTGCGTTCACTGCGACACGCGCAGACCACCTGGTTTCTGAGTATAAGTCAGCCTTTAACCAACCATCTCAATGACTTCTACTGTCGTTTCCACAGGAACCCCCCCCCATGACACCTCCTCCACCTCAGCTGACCCAGTGGATGCTAAAACCATTCCTTTATGGGACATTTTGTTAGCTTATTAACCAATAGGATGTGTTGAACTATTTTCACAGCTTTTATTCTAAAATGTAAAGATTAGCTGTTTTATAAACTGCAACCTAAAACTGACTAAGGTTCAATCTAAGATGGCTGCCAGAAACGGCACTGCACCATCATCATCATCATCATCATCAGCTCCACGTACCGATCCTGCTCTGGTCTTTGATGTCCAGCTCCGGCTCCACGTACGGCTGCAGCTGAGCTTCATCTCCAGCGTTGATCCAGCGCTCCTTCATTATTTGCTAGATGGAAACAATAAAGACCAAAACCTTCTGAGGAGGTCTGAGTTCTGGGGACCAAAGATCTCCATGGTAACCATCAGGAGAAACGCCCACTATCACACAGACGCTGAGGTTCTGATGGTGGGTCCAGAGCTGGAGATGGACCCACAGAACCAGAAACCCCAGAACCGCAAATATAGAGCAGATACAGACTAAAACCAGCTGACATGACCAGAACTCCCAGTACAGGTGGAGCCAGTCGCATGGGAGGAGGGAGGGGAGGATGGAAAGAAAGGAAGATATAGAAATAAAGTGAATAGAATAGTGTTATGCAGGGTGTGGGCGTGTCCAGGAAGGGAACCCAGTGGTCTAGAAAAGCCTGCTGATGTTCTGACCTCCAGCGTTCCTCTCTTTCCAGGGTTCAGCACCAGGAAGCGTTTCAGCAGGTTTTCACAGTCGGTCGACATGTAGAAGGGGATCCGGTATTTGCCTCGTAGAACTCGCTCTCTGAGCTCCTGCAGATAAAAACACAGCGCCGCCATCCTGACGTCCTCCTCTGATCCTCTACCAGCTGCTGAAGCCCCGTCACACCCGCACGGTTTAGACCAGCGATGCCTGACGAACGCAAAACCTGGCTAAAACGCTGCATACGTTATGGGTACGCTGGAACACGCTAACATACGGCGAGTACATCCCGCCGTATGCCGGCGTCTGCCGTCCGTCGGCCGTCAGTTCCAGGTCAGTTATCTGATGGTGTCGGTTGCTCATCAGTCGTGGCGTCTAGCTGATCCTAAACCTCTGACTAACTTCTGCCTAACTTATCCAGAACTTCTCTCCAACATGTCAGCGTATCTGCCGTGTTCCAGATGAGCACTGAACGTGTTCTTTTTTTTTTTGGCGGGCGGTAAACAGCAGCTAGGTTAATACCGCCATCAAAGATCCTCTGGGTGCGTCTCAGATTGTGGGACGGCGGGCAGAGGCTGGATAGATGGTCCAGGTGTGACGGGGCCCTCAGCTGATAACAAGAGGCAGAAACATCTGGAGCAGGCAGAGACTCACCTTCAGGTTCTGTCCATCGAATGGCAGAGATCCACTGACCAGAGTGTAGAGGATGACTCCCAGGCTCCACACGTCCACCTCTGGTCCATCATACTTCTTACCCTGAACACAGCAGCAGACGGACCTCAGCTTCTAAAGCTACAGCTGATGTTTGGAGCTGCAACCAACCACTCACTATAATGGCTAAACTTTCCACTAGTTTTCCCCACTGATCATTAAAGTCGCAGGGAAGCGGCTGTTCTAACCGTTGCGTTTCTGAATTCTCCCAGTGGTGCCCGACTTTACACCAGTGAATAAAGTGAATGTGATTGGTCGATTATCAAGGGGGCGGGATTGTTGTGGCGGAAGGTTAACAAGCAGCTTTGGTTGCCCGGGAAGCAT